GGTTTTGAATGAATTTCCTAGGTATGACATCGCAACACAGAGAAGTGTTATATTCGCTACAATGGGTCTGCATAATTTTATTCGTCAAAACAATATTCAAGACTCTGACTTTGACAATATCGGTAACGAAAATGATGTTGTACAAGCTGAACATATTGAAAATGAAGACCAGGAGAACAATGATGGTGTTAGAGTTGAAGAAGCATCAGAAGCAGGAGCATATATGCGGATAGTTCGTGATCAAATTGCTGAGCAAATATGGTCCGAAAATCGACGTGGACCGCGCCGTCGTCATTAGATTATATTTCTCTATTTTTGTTTTTTATTATGAGATTTGTTTCTATGTTATTGAATAATTTAATATGATTTGAAATAAATTAATTTTTATTTAAAGTTTTAACTTGTATTATAGTGTTATTTTAAAAATTAGTAAATAAAAGTTTTAAGAAAAACCACTTTTCAAGTCTCACTTTTCAAAAATTCTATATTTTCAAATTCTTTGCAAAAATGCCACTTTGCAAAATTAGCTTTTCATTATATCATTTATGTTTGGGTTAACTATGCTGTATTAGAGTTTAATTTTGAGGGTTTTAAGGATTAAAACATTTTTAGGATTTACAATTTTAAGATTTAGGYTTTAAAAATTCATAATTAGTTGTATTTTTACAAATTGACATCTCAACGTAGTATTCTTACTACCAATATTAAATATTTTATTTTAATATTATTCAATTACTCTCAATTATTTTCAATTACTCTTTTATCTACCATTCACAATAAAAAATAAATTATTTTTTATATTCTTTTCAATTCTTCTATTTATCACTTTTCTTTTCTTCTTAATTACTTTCTTCTCATTTCTTCTCACCAGTCACACCCTTCGACATTTCCCCAAATATTTTGGTCTTTTGGGCGGCAACAATCTCCCCCCGGAAATTTGTGTTGCGACTATTGTGTGACTAATTGGAGTCTTTTGTTAATTACAAAGCACCAAATCAGATCCCCAAATCATTTTTGTTCGAAACCCTTAACAAAATTATCTTTCTCTCTCGATTCTGTCGATCCCCTCTTACACCGATTCCGGCGAAATAGATCGATTTCTTCATCCTTCACTTTCCAGATCTTCATCTTTTCATCTCTGTTCCGGTTCTCTCATTCTAACCGACATGGCTGGTGGAAAAGGCAAAACCAGTCGAGGGAGAGGTGCTAAAGAAGGCTCTGGTGGTAGATCCAACCCCGTCCTTGGTAAATCCAACGACAGCCGCAGGTGCATGCTCGACCCAACGCTCAACGGCGGTGGTGTTCGAACCAAAGTCGCACCTCCTCCTCAAACCAAAGATACATCAGGTGCTCCAGCCAACCTCGAACCTGCTCCTCAAAACTCAGCCGCACGTACTCCGACCACCAACGGTGGTGGTCAAGTCAATCTTTGAGAAGGTACACCTACAAGCGGAGGTAGATCCTTCGGAGCTTCTTCTGATTCATCTAACCCATCTTCTTAGGCGACACCCCCTGCGCCATGACGAGTACTTACGGCGCAGTTTCCACCCTCGAAACAATCTCAAGCTCCTTACCAACTACAGTTTCTGAATCCGAACCCACAACCTCAGCCAGTGGAGATTCCTCAGCAACAAGCTCCTCATGGTCAATTTCCTCAGGAAGGTGAAGTTAATAATTACAACCCGAACCATGATCTTGATATAGAGGATGACATACCACTTGATGATCCCAACCTCGATGCGCAAGACTACCAACAGTTGTTAGCAAATCTGATGGCTCTTCCGGGCCGAGAACGTCTAACTAACTATCTTGTCTGAGGATCCATTCTCTAACCGCGAAACTACATGGTAACTTTCCTGTACTTTTTAAATTTTACTTTGCTTTGTTTTGTATATGCTTTTGTGGGTTCGCTTTGGATAACGTAAATCTACTTTGTGTTGTGTGCTAATGCTGAAGTGTAGTTGTATCTTTAATTCTGTTTATGCATCCATAAATATGAATTTCGATTGTATCTTTGTCAAAGTATTACTGAAATTGTATAATGGTCTGGGAATGTTTTGCATCATTGTAGTTCTTTCATGGTCTACTAATGAAGCATCAGACATGTGTTATCATTCTCATATACTTGTGATACATGCAGTAGCTCATTCTTTGAGATACTGCTTCTTCATGGTTTTGGTTCAGGTCAGTAAATTCTTTAAGTAGCTGCGTCTGAAGTTTAGCTGGAAGGTTACACCAATTAGCAAACAAGAAAGATACTTCAGAACAATTGGGGTAATGTTTTAGAGTTTTGCTTCTTTTATATTTAAATTGTAATGCCTAAGTATCAGCACTACTAACCAATATTCTATTCTGTAGAGGATGTACGATTGTGATACCGGACGGTCCGGACCCTGACAACAGATGAAAAGACTGATATCATTCTAAAGGTAATTTCATTTATCATAGGATTGTGTTTGTTTTGCTGTCTGGTTTCTTAGCATAGGAATGTCTTTTATTCTTGTCTGAATTTGGTTTCATCTTTTGTTTTTGTTTCTCATTAACTGGTTCGCTCTGTTTTGAATAATACTTCATGTCTTTGAGCATCAATTGTTAGCATAGGAAATACTTTACCTGGATTGAGTGATTCCAATTGTATGGACTGTAAATGGGTCAATTGGGTCTTCGGAATATGTTTTCCATCTTTCTCATTTGTGTTCTGAATCACTCAGTCTGTTATATATTGGCTATGTTTCAGTCCAATGTATAGATTTGTTTTTTACCTTCTTCGTAAGTATTGTATCTGTTTTGGTTAACTGTTTTAGTGCACTGAAGCAGATCAGAGGGGGAATGCTTTTGTACTTGGACAACTTAGTGAGCTGGTTAACAAAGGTAAAAGGAAACAAAGTTATTGTAGCTCTTCTGCCGCTTCACTAGTTGAGATCCAGGGGGAACTTCGGACAGCTCGACGTAAGATAGCTCAACATGAAGAGGAGAATGCTCGTCGACGCGATGAGGAGCAACAACAAGCTCAATCTCGGATCTATGAAATGGAGAAGCTGATCACGTTCATGAAGAACAATGATCCCCAACAACAAACTCAGACTGCTTCTCAAACTTTCTATATTTCTCTCTTGAACAAACTAGTAATGTTTAAATCCTTTTTGTACTCTTGTTTTAATCATTTTGTACACTGTAACTTATTTTGGTTGAATACTTAGTATGCTTATAACTTAAGGTCTTTTAGTTCTTCTTTTGATTTTGACATTTCATAACCTAACAAATAAACAAATAAGTAGCAAATTAGTAACTGAAATGAGACTAATAAATGTGACTACACAAACAAAAGTGTTGCAAATCCGTGGGTAATTAGTGACACTTTAATGACTACATTGTGACTACAACGATTTCTAACCACTACGAAAATAGTCACTAATGAATCACTTATTTACGACTACAATATCCGACACATATTAGTATCAATATAGCGACTATAACAAGCGACACAAATTAGTCTCAATTTCATGACTAACACAATTGGTCACAAAGTAGTCACAAATTTACGACCCAACTTAGAAGTCACAATGTAGTCGCTAATTTGCGACGGTTTTGTGACTATAAATTAGCGACGAAAATTTACCAACTACCTATTTTGGTCACAAAGTAGTCACAAATGGGTCATTTGTGACCATTTTGTGACGTTTTTGGGAGTCACAAATGAGTTTTTTTTTGTAGTGCAAGTGACAAGTTGGCGAGCTTGAGGCCCAAGATATGAATTGGGCCAAAGATGACAAGGTGACCAGCTCAAAGCCAACAATGAAACCGAACTGGCAATGGAAAGTCCACATGAATCTAGATCGACTTAGCAAAAAGGGAATCTCGAATAATTATGAATTTTTCCTTATCTTTTAGCAGTCGACCTAGCCGACTTAGATTTTTATAAATACCAATGTACTTTTCTGGAGAAAAGGATCCAGAATTTTATCGAGCATAAACTCTATACTTTTTGTTGTGACATTAGAAGCTTTCAAACAACAATAAACTCATCTTCAATCTTTCTCTCCGTGGTTTAAGCTTAGAGATCTCAGTTCCCTAAAAAAGTATCTTTGTCAAATTCACTTGTGTTAGTTTCGACTCTCACACCTATGGGTTCAAATGGTGAAGATTTTTTTATTTGACCTTACATTCAATCAGGAGCTTATACACTCAAGCAAATGGTGAAAAGTGGTACAATGTTCCTTGAAAAAAAGAAACAGTGGATGTTTTTGGATGCGGTTGGAGTTAAGGATAGGAAGAATAGAATTTGGAAATTAAAACGGTTCCTAAGATCAAATTATTTTTTGGGGAGAGCCCTTTAAGGTGCTCTGCCTCTGGCTAATAGCTTGCATTGTCAAAATGTGCATGTGGCTTTGTCATGTTAGTTGTATAGTTCATCGATTGAAACAATCTCTCATGTGTGCTTAAGTGCTTAGTAGCACCTCAGCTGTTAGGTTTGGATGGAATTCTGTTACCTCATCATGGGTTTGGGAATTGTATTGAGGATAATTGATGTAGTGAGTTTTATACCCAATTAAACCAATTTAAAGTGCACAACAATTACTATAGTATAGAACGGATCGAATCCATAGAGACCTAGTGTTGTACTACAAGTTTCTAGGAATCGAATCAAGGTAAAACAAATATATTTGGTAAGATATTTTTTTTTTATGAGATTACGGCACGAAATTAAACTAGTAAAAGTAAGAAAATTAAGCAAGCCAAGGGTTCAAATTCAATAAGAGAAAACATTAGGAAATAGGTTTATCGTAGAGAT